CTCTTTCATTTTAATTTACTTGGAGTTTGTTCAGTTTTTTGGCTGTGTATTTGTTCATCAAATTTAGAATGCTTTTTGCCACTATTTACACAAAAAATTTTTTTCTGTATTTTTCTTGCTTCCTTTTCTGGAACTTCCACATTGCTTATGTTGGTACATTTGATGTGTTGTCTGATAGATCTCTGAGCTCTGTTTGCTTTTTCTACACTCTTTTTTCTTTCTCTTCCTCAGACTGTATAACCTCAGTCTTAAAGTTCACAGATCCTTTCTCGTTCCTGTGTAGTGCTGCTCTCGAGCCCTTAAGCCCTTGCTGTGGTTTTTATTGTCCATGGGGACAATGTATATTGATTGCATTTTCCCCCTCTGTGTATGAGATATACTCTCTTGTTCCTTTGCATGCTTCATTATTTTTTTAATTAAGAACTAGACATTTTAAGTAATGTGGCAACTCTAATAGCAGAATCTTTCTCTTGCCCATTGTTGTTTGTTGTTTCTACTTTGTAGTTTGTTGCTTTATTGACCTTATAACTGATTCTTTGAAGTTTGTATTCTTTATAATGTATAGCCATTGAGCCCTTTATTTATTTATTTTAAAAGATTTTATTAATTTTTAGAGAGATGGGAAGCGAGGAAGATAAACACTGATATGAGAGAGAAACATCACTTGATTGCCTCTCCCCCCATCCGAGAACTGAACCCGCAACCCAGGCTTGTGCCCTCGCTAGAAATCAAACGAGTGACCTTTTGTTTTATGGGACAACACCCAACCAACTGAGCCATACCAGTCAGGGCAAGCCCTTTATTTAATTTGGTGGGCAGAGATTTCCTTAAATGCCTGGAACCAATAAATCTTCCACTATTGGCCAACTGGCTCTGTATGTGTTTTTGGGACGCCCGAGTACACCTTCAGCACTCAGCCAGGAAGTTTGTAAGTCTGCCTTAGGTCATACAGGTCATACAGGCTTAGGTCATAGCCTGAAGGTCATACAGGGGTGAAAGCTTGTCTGTTTTTAGTTTTTTTCCTAAGTAGGTGCATAGTGCTCCATATACATATGGCCTTCTCAGTTCCCCACAATATGTAAGAGCTTTTCAGAACCCCTATTGGCATCTTATTTCCAAGCTTTTAAAGTTTTTTGGGTAGTCTGTCGTTTGTTTCAGTTGTTTCCAGGATCTCAGGTAGCCACAAAGTTAAAACATTTTCCAGTAATGGTTTCCTCAAACATGCTCCCAAAACCGTTCCCTCTCTTGTAGATAGAAGTCTTCAGGCATTAGGCGAGAGTCAAGGAACCAGGACCCAGGTCAGATAATGGCCAGTCTTTGAAAATGAAGCTTTGAAAGTCTCCAGCTCAGTTTTGGTTGCTCTAGTGGTTACCAGGCGGCCTTGGCATTGAAGGGACCAGGGAAAGTTAAAACTCCACAGATAACTATTTTTACCCATAGTGGTCTTCTTTCCTGAGTAAATACTCTGTGGACTGCTTCAATCATTTGATTAATTTTCAGAGTTCTGAAGTAGTTGATTCTGACAATTTTTGCTAGTTGTTGTTACTGCTTTTATGGAGGGACAAATTTTTGGAGGTTCTTTCTTTGACATTTTTTCTAAGTTTTTTATCCATTTCTTTTTGAGGGAGCTATGGTAATTTCTTTCTTTCAAAGAATTTATAAATTTCTTCTAGGTTGAATTTATGGGCATATTTTTTAATATTCCTTATTCTTCTAATTTCTAATGAGCAGTTCCCTCTTTGATTCTTAATATTGATAGGTTGTATCTTTTTTTCCTGGTCAAAGGTAGGTTTATCAATTTATTGCCTCTTTTTAAGAGTAACATGTTTTGGGTTCAGTAGTAATGTCTTGTTTTTCTGTTTTAAATTTTATTGATTTTTTTTCTCTTTATTAGTTCCTTTTGGTTTCTTTTGGGTTCATTTGCTCTTATTGTTTTAGATTCTTAGTATGGAAATTAGATAATTGATTTTAGATCTTTTTTTATAACCATTACTACTATAAATTTCATGCTAAATGCCAATTTAGCTGCATCGTACAAATTTTGATAATGTGTTTTTATTTTAATTCAGTTAAAACATTTTAAGTTCCTGTGTGACTTCTTTGACTCATGGATAATTTCAAAGTGCAATACTTAATTTCATAATACTTAGAGATTTTCCAAATGTCTGTCATTGATTTTTAGTTTTATTTTGGTATGTTCAGATAGTATGCTTTGTATTATTTTATTTTTTTAAACTTACTTCTTTTTAAAGATTTTATTTATTTATTTTTAGAGAGAGGGGAAGGGAGAGTGAAAGAGGGAGAGAAACATCGATGTGCGAAAGAAACGTGCCTCTCGCATGCACCTAACCAGGGACCTGGCCCACAACCCAGGCATGTGCCCTGGCTGGGAATTGAACCAGTGACCTTTTGGTTCCCAGGCTGGCACTCAACCCACCAGTTAGGGCATATTTCTTTTAAACATATGACAGATTGTTTTATGGCCCAGAATTTGATCTCCCTTGGTGAATGTTCTTGTGTACTTGAATGTGTATTCTGTTTTTGAGGAGAGTATTATGTAACTGTCAGATCAATTTGGTTGACAGTATCATTCTGGTCTTCATCTTTACTGATTTTTGGGTTTACTTTTTCTGTCGACAACCCAGCCATAGAGGAATGTTAAAGTCTCAAATACCATCTTGCAATCTTTGGAGATATTACTCTCTATATTCTAGCTTCCATTGTACTAATGAATTTGTTATCATTCTCATGTCCTTTCTTTGAAGTAATTTGTCCTTTTTCCCTCTGTGGTGTTCAGGACTTCTGCTTGCTCTTGGCCTTCTCTAGTTGCAGTATGATATAAAATGAAATCTTTTCATAAACTTCGTATACATGGTGCTTCATGTATGAGTTTATTCTTTTTTTTTAAATGAGCTTTTGAAACTTTGCAGCCTCTTCCCCACCCAAATATTGCCTCTTTTCAATTCAACTCTCTCTAATCTTTCTTTCTTTCAAGGAGATAGGCTGTGTTTGCTATTTACTGTAGTAGCTATTGTGTTAGAATCTAAAATTTTCTCTGGTGTCTTTGTTTTTATTCCCCTGTGGTCTTGGTTTTTCCCAGGGACCTTTAAATAGGGTCCAAAGCTTGCAATTCTTTTAACTGTAATCCTCTTATACAGGAGCTCTGTTGATACCTTAGTAAGGTTTAGAAGGAGAGATAGAGTCCTGTAGTCCTGTGTGATTATATCTCAGTCCTTTAGTGAGCCTGAGCTGGTTTCACCCTTACCCACATTAGGCTATAGGGGCCTAGTGTGGGGGCGGGTATTTCTTTTACCACAGGTTGGTTAGGCTTTGGTAAAACCCTAAATTATCAAATGCAGGTAAAATATTTTCTTTGTGAGTAATGCTTGTTAAGAGAACATTACATTCCATCTCTCCCTGCAAGAAGAGGCAACTTTTCCCCAATCTTTATAGTGAGAACCCAGTGGGGCTCCTGGAGGTAGGAGTCAAGAAAGTATGAGTCCCCTCAGACTGGGTCCCCTTGAGTTTTTAACTCTCAAGCTAGTTTTTTCTGAGACTTCAGCAATTTGTCAATTATTAGATAGAGTATTCAAATTAATACTAATTCCAGTTCTGTGCTTCTGCATTTGGGCTTCTGTTCCCACTAGGGTGTGATCTCTGTATCTGCTGTTTGTGTTCAGGGTGGCAGTTTTTGCCTTATGACCTCAATTGTTAGGATGGGAGCGACAGCTTCCAGGCTCTTTAGATGCTGGACCATAAACCAAATTTCTGTTCTTTATGTCTAAAGCTCCAACTAATACATATTAAGATTTTTTATTCTAATTCTCCTCTTTTACTATCTCGTTTTACATCTTTTTGATTCTTAATGATGCCTTTTGGGTAGCTTCTTTGCTGTTTTTTCTTTTTACTAATATTGTTTTCAGCTGTATATAATCTGCTGTCTAACTCATTCATCATATGTTTTCCCCGTACTTTATTGAGTATACTTAAATATGTAGCTTAACCAATTTTAATAAGAGTATACACACATATAACCACTGCCTTACTTAAGATACAGAACATTTTGTCACCCTAGAATAGTTCCTTTTCTTACTTTCAAGGTTGTTGGAAACTGCTAGCTAGATTTTCACCATAACTGTACAATTTTACACTCCTACCAGCAATTTCTGAGAGTTTCAAGTACTATACTTTTCTTTCTAACACTTTGGTGGTTAATACTTTTTAATTTTACCCATTTGGGTGGCTGAGTGTTGCTTTGAAGATTTTGTTTGTTTACTAGTTAGAACCTTCATTTCTGGAATTTCCATGGTTTTTGTTTTTTCAAATCTCTTTGCCAGATTGTTGTGTGCTTGTCTTAACAAATACCACCTTTATTTCTTAAGGGAGTATATAGACTGTTAACAATATCTTGTCTTTTGATAAGAGTAAGATAAATCTGTACTCTGAGTACTCAGATATCCTTAATCAGTTTCATTAAAAATTCTTTCATTTCACATTTTACTAACTCATTTTGGTAACAGGTTTTCTTTTTCACTTGAAATATCTTCCTTTTCTCATATGTAGTATAAATATTCCAGCTAGGACAACTCTCCCTCAGTTTTATATCATTTATTCTTTCTCATACAGGGCTTTTTGTTTTTCAGTTAAAATATTGTCCTCACAGATAAAGGTAGAACCTATAATGGTTATTTCAAATGCCAGGTTGTGATATTACTTCAGAATAGACCAAGATTAATATTTATATGCTTATGTGTATGTGTACATGTGATTTTCATAAGCATAAATTATAAGTATATAATACAAATAGTGACATGTGGGAAAAAATAACCCTTGAAGTTTTTCTTTATGAATATCTTAACGAAGAATTTCTTTAAATTCACATAATTTCTTTAAATTTATGTTTAAATTAAATATAATAAAAGTCACAAGATAAATTATTATATTTTGTCTGGTCTTACTATTGTAAGTCTTACATGTTGCATTTTTGTCTTCTGCTTTAGGCAATCCTTTATCACAGGATATTCTCAATTTATACCAGGACCCAGATGGAACCCGAAAGCTACTGAACTTTATGCTTGACAATCTTGCAGGTAACTATTAATAACAAAGCAATAAATTCTACAGATGTTACTATTAATTAATATGTCACATTTTACTTAGGAGCATATAACCATTTTTATAAGTGCCTATAGGTATGGAATTCCTGCCATTAGTATTTCCTGGAGTAGTGGAGCATTCTTCTTTTCTTACACTGAGTGCTTTTTTTTATTAACCAAGCAATATGTAAGGAGTTTTAGTTACATTATCTCCTTTAATCTTTCTAAGAACCCAGGAGGTAGGAATTTTTACTGGTATTGTACAGGCAAATTCTGAGATTTAGAGAGTAAAGCAATTTACCCAACTAAACCCAGCTAGTTAATGACAGCTGTGAACCCAGGATATCACTCCTCTTTTGGTTAGAATTTACACTTTATTTTTTTCTGTTCTTTCGTGTTTAACCTTTCTGCTTCCCTATATGTTAGTGTTTCCTTCCGTTTTCTTGTTTTAAGTTTATTTTGTTCTCTTTCTTACTCAGTGTAAAAACTTAGATTGTTGCTTTGAGATCTTTCCTTTTTTATTAATGCAAGCATGTAGCATTATTATACATTTACCTTGCATTTATTTTGCAACTATTTTAGTTGCATTCCACAAATTTTGATATGTTGTATTTTTTATTTCCATTCTGTTTAATGTATTTTTAAAAAATTTTCTTTGAGACTTTTCATGGATTATTTACAAATGTGTTGTTTAATTTTCTGGGTTTTTTTAATGATTGTTTGATCCTAATTTGCTGAGGCTTGTATTTTGAAGCTGTGTTTGGTAGATACATATTAGGATTGCTACATTTTCTTGGTGGCTTGATCTTTCTATCATTATATAATGACCTTTGTTTCTAATATTTACTTTGCTCTTAAGTATACTGTATCTGATAATAATATAACCTGACTCTGTTTAGAGTGAGGATAGTCTTTTTCCATCCTTATACTTGTATACAGCATATGGTTGAGTCATATGTCATGTTTTTTTATCTATTCCATCAAGACTCAACTCTTATAATTTATGTATTGAAACTATTTACATATAGATTAATTGTAAATATGCAGAATTTAAGTCTGCCATTTTAGTACTTGTTTTCTGATTGTTTCTTCTCTTTTTGCTTCTTGTTTATCTCTTCTTCTTTTCCTGTGGATTACTTAAACATATTTTAGGATTCCATCTTGTTTTATTTTTGCTGTTTTTGAGTACATTATCTTTATCGTTTTCTTGGTGTTTGCTTTAAATATTACAACATCCATACTTAACACAGTCTACTGATAATTCTCTTTTATCACTTAAATGAATTATTGATGCCTTATTTCCATTTATGTTACTTCAACCTTCCCACTTTTAAATATACAAGGGGGACCCCCCCCAAAATGGAATTTATTTATAAAAAATTGTGTCTTTATTCTTACATATTTAAACGTCATTCACCTTCAAAGTATTCTCCATCTGATGCATTACACCTATTGAGATGTTTTTTTCCACTGCTCAAAAACAATTTTTTAAGTTATGTTTTATTGATTATGTTATTACCGTTGTCCCAATTTTTCCTTCTATGCCCCCTTCTGCTTAGCACCTGCCACTCCCTCAGGCAGCCCACACCTTTGTTGATGTCCACTGGTCATGTGTATGAATTCTTTGGTTACTTCATTTCCTATATTGTACTTTACAATACATCCGCATGGCAATTCTGTAACTACCAATTTGTACTTCTTAATTTGAACCTGTTGATTTGGCTGCCTTTTAGTGCTTCTGACTTTTTTTTGTTTCATCGCATTGACAAAACATTTCCCTTTGTGGACTTTTTCATTGGGGGAAACAAACAAAAAAAATTGCTTGGGGCGAGATCTAGTGAACAGGGAGGGTGGGGCATGGGGTTCATGCTATTTTTTGGTCAAAAGCTGCTGAACACTCAGTGCAGTGTGGGGAGGTGCCCTCATAAATCACCCATCGTGAAACGGGCAAATGCATTGAAAAAGCCTTCAAAAAAAATTAACTGAAGCCAAATTCATCCTCTCACAGCAACGCTAGCTGGTACATGGTACAAATGGGTTCCTTGAACACTCACCTTGCAGGGAAAAGCCTGTACTAAAAGGGACCCACCTTCCAGGAGATAATTCTGGTATTTTGGGGATCACCCAGTTGTCTTTAGTGTTTTCACTCCATGTTCTGAGGGCCACACAGATGTGATTTTTGCTTCAGCCATCAGATATGATTTAAGAAGCTCATGTGGAGAAGGATAATCTATTAACCCCTTATTTTTCACTTGTTCCATGTTTTTTTTCTGTTTGATCTTCCAATTCTTCTGTTATTCTTTCTTCTAACAGAGGTTCCTTTAGCCATTCATTTCTCAAGGGCAGATCTGCTAGCAACAAAGTCTCTTAGTTTTCTTTTGATAACATCTTTATTTCCCTTTGATTTCTGAAGGATAATTTTATTGAATACAGAATTTGTGGTTGATACTTTTCTTTCAGCACTTAAAAAACGGTGTACCAAATTCTCTGGCCACCATCTTTTCAGGAAAAAAACCTGTTGTTCCCTTATAGGTAAGGTAATGTGTCATTTCTCTCGGATGTTCTTGAGGGTCCTTGTGTTTAATTTTCAATTTAATTATAATGTGTCTTGGTGTGGATTCGTTTGGGTTTATTCTATTTGAAGTTTGTTTACCTTCTTAAATTTGTAGGTATATGCCATTTACTAAATTTGGGAATTTTAGTTATAGTCTCTTAAGAATAGTGTTTAAATCTACCTCCTTTCTCCCCTTCTTCTGGTCTCCGATTAGGTGAATTTTAGAGGTTTTGTTAAAGTCCCCCAGACCCTAAACTTCATTTACTTTTTTTTTAGTTTATTTTCTTTTATTCATATTAAATAAATTCTATTGGTTCTTAAATTCAGTCATTTTATCTTTTTAAATCTTTATTTTGTTTCTCTTCTCTGAGTTTTTTATTTTATTTTTAATTCAGTAATTTCATTTTGGTCCTTTTTATTTTTTATATATTTATTTTTCACTTTGAAAGACCTTTTAATTTTCAGGTGAATAGGAGTAAAGAAAGACATTAAGATACCTAGGATCTTGGAAGGGTTGTGAATCGGGGGCATAGCATATGGGGTACATCGTTTCTCGTACTGGGCACAGATGTGGCCTCCATCCTTGGCCACAGAGAGAACACCTCTCCCCATTCAGGTGGCTGCTCTGGCTGCTCAAGATGCAGTCAGCTGAAAACACTCTGGTTTTAGTGAGGGAAACCAATGTCCCAGACGTCCAGGCTTAAGGCCAAAGCACCGTTTCTTTTATATAAATAACACTTAAAATTCTCACGGTTCTGGGGACCTCATATTGGGATCAAGGTGTTGGCAGGGTTGCCAGACAGAACAGGGTTGGTTCATTCTCAGAGTCTCAGGGAAGAATCTGTTGTGGGCTTCCCTCTGACCTTTTTGGGGACATTGGCTTTCATTGTCTTTTTTCTTGGCTTTCATTGGTTTGTGGCTGCATTGCCTCGATCTCTGCCCTTGTCATCACATGGTTTCTGAGTGCTCAGTTTGGTCCTTTTAAAAACATGTAACTTACACTTCTTTGCTAGGGCTTTCTTTATTTTTATTTGTTTCAAGAGAATTTATAATTATTTCCAGAAGCAGCTTTGCCATGGCTGCTCTAAAATCTCTGTCAGGTAATTTCAACATCTAGATTATCTTTGTGTTTGTTGGAGTCTTATGTAAGTGTTGATTTTCCTGATCTTTGGTGTGACCAAATTTTCAGTTGTACCATGGATATTTGGAATATTATATTAGGAGACCCTTGTTGCTTTTTAAATCTCAGTGTTAGCAGGCAGTTGCCCTGTTTAATTTTACCATATAGGGTTTGTCAGCCTTTTCAGTCTCATGTGATACCCTTACTGTGGGCAAACCATGCCCAGTGCTGCTGACCACTGTGAGGTGTGGGATGAGTTAGCTCTCTTGGGCTCTGCTAGAGTGGCTGCCATCAGCAATATTGAATACCCACATTGTCAAAAAAGAAAGGAACAGAGAGGAACTACAAGAACAGCTGGTAAACAATTAACAAAATTGCAATAAGTACATGCCTAACAATAATTACATTAAAGGATCATAAGAAACTACTACAAACAATTATATGCCAACAAATTGGATAACCTAAAAGAAACAGATGAATTTCCAGAAACATAAAACCTATCAAGATTGAATTTTGATGAGATAGAAAATCTGAACAGACTGATACCTAGTAATCAAAAACCTCCCAAAAAACAAAAGTCTAGGACAAGATGGTGTCACTGTTGAATTCTGCCAAATATTCAAAAGAGGCCAATACCAATCTTTCTCAAACTCTCCCAAATAATAGAAGAAGAGAGAACTCTTCCAAATTTATTTTATTATGTCAGCATTACCCTAATACCAAAACCAGACAAGAATGCCCCAAGAAGACAGAATTATAGGCCAATATCCTCAATGAACAGAAATGCAAAAAATCCTCACCTAAATGGAATTCAACACTACATTTAATACAGCACGATCAAGTGGGATTTATCCCAGGTATGTAAAGATAGTTCACCATCTACATTAACAAAATGAAGGATATTCCTCAACGTGATAAAGGCCATATATGAAAAACCTACAGCCAATATCATACTCAACGGGCAAAAACTGAAAGCTTTCCCACTAAGATCGGGAACACGACAAGGATGTCCACTCTCATCGCTTCTTTTCAACATCGTATTGGAAGTCCTAGCCACAGCGGTCAGACAAGAGAAAGAGATAAAAGGCATCCAAATAGGAAAGGAGGAAGTAAAACTATCATTGTTTGCAGATGACATGATAGTGTACATAGAGAACCCTGTAGACTCTACCAAAAAACTCCTCAACCTAATAAGTGAATTTGGCAAAACAGCAGGATACAAAGTCAACATTCAGAAATCAAAGGCGTTTTTGTACACCAGCAATGCAATAGAAGAAGAAGAAATCAGGAAAAATATACCATTCGATATAACACGAAAAAAGATAAAGTACCTAGGGATAAATTTAACCAAAGACACAAAAGACCTGTATGCAGAAAACTATGCAACATTGAAAAAAGAAATTAAGGAAGACACAAATAAATGGAAGCATATACCGTGCACATGGATTGGAAGAATTAATATCCTTAAAATGTCCATACTACCAAAAGCAATTTATAGATTCAACGCAATCCCTATTAAGATACCAATGACGTATTTCACAGAAATAGAACAGACATTTCAAAAATTTATATGGAACCATAAACGACCTCGAATAGCCGCAGCAATTTTGAGAAAGAAACACAAAGTAGGAGGGATCACAATACCGGACATCAAACTCTACTACAAAGCCACTATACTCAAAACAGTCTGGTACTGGCACAAGAACAGACCCATAGACCAGTGGAACAGAATAGAAAGCCCAGAAATAAGCCCAGGTCTCTATGGACATCTAATATTCGACAAAGGGGGCAGAAGCATAAAATGGAGCAATAACAGCCTCTTCAACAAATGGTGTTGGGAGAGCTGGATGGCTACATGCAAAAAATTGAAATTGGATCATCAGCTGACACCATACACAAAAATAAACTCAAGATGGATAAAAGACTTAAATATAAGTCGCAACACCATCAAAGTCCTAGAGGAGAACATTGGCAGGAAACTCTCAGATATCCCACACAGCAATTTTTTCACTGATAATGTCTCCTAAAGCAAGGGACATAAAGGAAAGAATAAACAAGTGGGACCTCATCAAAATAAGAAGCTTCTGCACGGCTAAAGAAAACATCAGCAAAATGAAAAGGGAGCCAGCCATTTGGGAAAATATATTTGCTAATGATACATCAGATAGAGGTTTGATCTCCAAGATATACAAAGAACTCACTCGACTTTACTCCAAGAAGACAAACGATCCAATCAAAAAATGGGCAAAGGACCTGGGCAGACGCTTTTCCAAGGAGGAGATACAGAGGGCCCAGAGGCATTTGAAAGGATGCTCTGCATCACTAGCCATCAGAGAAATGCAGATCAAAACCACCATGAGGTACCACCTCACACCGGTCAGAATGGCCATCATAAACAGATCCACAAACAACAGGTGCTGGCGAGGCTGTGGAGAAAAGGGAACCCTAGTCCACTGTTGGTGGGAATGCAGACTGGTGCAGCCACTATGGAAAGCAGTGTGGAATTTCCTCAGAAAGCTGAAAATGGAACTGCCTTTTGATCCAGCGATTCCCCTGCTGGGACTATACCCTGAGAACACCAAAACACCAATACAAAAGAACCTATGCACCCCAATGTTCATAGCAGCACAATTTACAATAGCCAAGTGTTGGAAGCAACCTAAATGCCCATCAGTAGATGACTAGATCAAAAAATTATGGTACATGTACACAATGGAATACTACGCAGCAGAAAGAAAAAAAGAAGTACTAAACTTTGCGACAGCATGGATGGAACTGGAGAGCATCATGCTAAGCGAAATAAGCCAGGGGGCGAAAGACAAATACCATATGATCTCACCTATAAGCGGAACCTAACCAACAATGCAAAGAAGCAAGGAAAATATGACCAGCAACATTGAAAGGAAAAGAAATCAACAGAGACAAGAGGGAAGGGGGGGGGGGCAGGGAAAGGGAAGGGAAGGGGAAAGTCAAGGAACATATAGCAAGGACTCATGGACAAAACCAAAGGGGAAGAGCTGAGGGAGGGAAGGTGGGAGGGGGCAAGGGAAAGAGGTGGGGGGAAGGCAGAGACAAATGTATTTAAAAAGTAAATAAATTAATTAAAATTAAAAAAAAAATAAAGTTTTAAATTTTCCAAAAAAAAAAAAAACAAAATGAAGGATAAAAGTCAAATGATCATTCAATAGATGCAGGAAAGCATTTGACAAGTTCAACGTGTATTTTACGATAAAAACTCTCAACAAATTGGTTATTGAGGTAATGTACCTCAAAATAAAGGCCATAAATGACAAGCCACAGCTAACATCATACTCAGTGGTGAAAATCTAAAAGCATTTCCTCTAAGCAGCAACATCACAAGGATACCCAATCTCTCCACTTCTATGCAACATAATATTGGAAGTCTGAGCCAGAACATTTAAGAAAGGAAAAGAAATAAAACACATCCAAATTATAAAGGAAGAAGAAAAACTGTCACTATTTGCAGATGAAATAATATTATATTAGAAAGCCGTAAAGACTTCCTAAGAAAAAACAAAAGCAAAACTGTTAGAATAAATGAATTCAATAAAGCTGAAGGATACAAAATCAATACACAAAAATGTTGCATTTCTATACACCAATAATGAAGTATCAGAAAGAAAAATAAAACCATCCCATTTACAGTTGTATCAGAAAGAATAAAATGCCTAGGAATAAATTGAACCCAGGGTGAAAGACATGTATATCGAAAATAAGATATGAATTAAAGAAATTGAAGAAGACAAAAGTAAGTGGAAATATATTTTGTGTTCATGGATTGAAAGAATCAATATTGTTAAAATTTCCATACTACCCAAAGCCATCTATAGATTCAGTGCAAACCCTATCAAAATTACAAATGGTATTTTTCAAAGAACTAGAACAAATAATCATATTACTTGTATGGGAAAACACACACACACACACACACACACACACACACACACCCCCCCAAAGAGCTAAAGCAGGCTTGAAAAAGAACAAAGCTGCAAGTATCATGCCCTTTGATTTTAAACTTATATTACAAAGCCATAGTAATTAAAACAGTATGGTACTGGCATAAAAACAGACACATGGATCAATGGAACAGGATAAAAAGCACAGAAATCAATTCACACATATGTGGTCAATTTATTTACAACAAGAGACAAAAATATAGTCAATACAATGGGAAAGGACAGGCTCTTTAATAAATGGGGTTGGGAAGACTGCAGCTGCATGTAAAAGAGTGAAACTCAACCATTGTTTTAAAGCATACACACAAATGAACTCTAAATGGATTAAAGACTTGAACATAAGACCTGAAACCATACAATTAGAAGGACACATAGATGGTGAGCTCCTTGACATAGGTTTTGCTAATGACTTTTTTAATGAATACTACGTCATACCGAAAAGCTTCTGCACAGCAAAGGAAATCATCAAGAAAATGAAAAGGTAACTACTGAATGGGAGAAAATATTTGCAAATCATATATCTGATAAAAGACTAATATCCAAAAAATATACAAAAAACTCCTCACTAGCAAAAAACCAAACAATCAATTAAAAAATGGCAGAAGATCTAAATGGACATTTTTCCAAAGAAGATAGTTATGTGGCTGTACATAAAAAGATGCTCAACACCATTAATTATCAGGGAAATGCAAATCAAAACCATAATGAATATCACCTCACACCTGTTAGAATGGTTTTATAAAAAAGACAAACAGGTGCTGTGAGGGTATGCAGAAAAGGGAACCCTTAGGCATTGTGATGGGACTATATGTTGGTGCAGGCATTATGAAAAGTATAGGTGCTAAAACAGGCATCCTTTAATTAGACTTTTGACACAAGAATGGTTACTCAAGTGATACTTTAAAATTGTAGATACTTTTGTGAAAATTTCCAGGGTTGGATGAAGATGGCCTGTTTTTGTTTTAAAGAAATACATTTCTCAGCCACCAATACCCCAGGGAAATCTGTGAATTTCCTTCAGAATGTTCTGTAACTGAAAATGTTTTTCCGAGAAAGAAGGAAAGGGGGTGGTTAAATCTTAACCTAGTGAATTTTTTTTCATCTGATAGTTGGGTAGTATTTAGTTCCATGATATTGATAACCATATCTGAGCAGTTAATGTTTACCCAGTGCCATTTTCTGTACAATCTAGTTCTAATCTCTTTTTTTGCATGGACGTTATGAAAGAGAGAAAGATTTAAATTAGGAAATCAAAGCCCCATTAGAAAATACATTAATTTTTACTATGTATTCATATGTGTTGTTTTCTCTTTTAAAGAAATTTGAGTTATTTGACCTTACCAGAGTTAGTTGGAATGTCATCCCTGTACACCAGTACACCAAAAGGTTGTGGCAGCTGATCATTGTTTCTCTCTAACATGAAGTTTCTCTTTCTCTTCCCCCCTACCAAAACCAATAAACACACATCCTTGGGTGAGGATTTTTTTGAAAAAAAGATATTTGAGTATTTTAGTCCATTAATACATTGGAACTTAACATAGCTTTGATTTCCCAGCAGGGAACAAGGCTAAGTCAATGTGTAATTAAGACGTAAGAACCTGATTAAGGTTTTAAATAGGTAACTTTTCATAAATACTATGTAAGTGGAGTGCCACTGAGTTTCCTAATTTTTTTTTTTTGTATATTTTTTATGTTTTCTGCATAGCTCTTCTTAACTTCTTCCTTTGGCTTATAAATTTTCATTATATTTCATTATATTTTTAAATCAGTTTGTGGGTCATTACAGCTGAAGAGAAAACAAGTTGATTTGACCCTATAAAGTAAATAATACTGATTTTAAAACCATGAAATTAACTTAAATTTTTATTTTTTTAGTTCATCCAGAGCAGCTTCCTCCGAGGCCATGGATTACATTAAAAGAACGAGACCAAATTCTGCCATCAGGTAAATAGTTTTTATTTTTCCTTGACTTTTTAAAGAAATGCTTGAAATGCCATTTGGGCATTGTGATACAATAAAAGGCCTTCATTTTAGTGATGACTTATGTACAAGAATCTCCTGTCTTTCACAGTGATGGGACTCTTGGTTTTAAAATGATTCCAGTTAACATCTTCACACAGGGTATTGGGAGATAGAAAAAAAAGTAATAATGAATCCTCTGAAAAATTTTAAACTACTTAGACAATTTTTCTTGAGCAGGTAGACTTATAACACTTATGAAAGAATGATTTAGACTGAATCTGTATTTGCTATATTGGAAACAAAATATTATACCAGGCCAGTGGTGTAGAAATGGTACAGGGTGAGCATTTGAGCAATTTAAGGATATTATTTTGCACTTCTAGAACTGCAATAATACAGAAAATATAAACCTTTATTACTTTGTGGAGACCAATAATGATTTGGTATCATTTATAGGGCTTTTTACTGCTTATTAGACATTTTATGATTGGGAATTCTACAAAAAAATTGTTATAAGTTGATATTTCTCCAGTTACATTATTTTTAATCACAGAAGTAATAGTTTTCTTGGTATCCAATTTCATTATAAAATTCAGAAATAAAAATTTTACTGTTCTAATATGAAGATTAAACCAATCACTGAATACTGATACTTTAATAAATTCTAATGGGTAAATCACAGAGTTTATTGTATACTTTTTAAGCTGTTCTGTTTGTGAGATTTTTTTTATGTTATGAAGTGAGAGGATTCATAAAAAAATTATTTGCTTTAGTATTGGGAAATAACATCTTCATGGCTCTCTTTGTATTTTAATAATACTGAGAAATATTATCATTCACAATACATTTCTGTCTTCCAGAAGTAGTAATTTTAAAACCACTAAACTCTAGATCCACAGTGTCAGCCTGTATTCAGAGACACTGTGTCATTGCTATCACAAATAACATTTCTGTTATCAGGATATACAGTGATGGTCAAAAAACAATACCTAAGGTTTTCTACAAAGCCTTAAGTTGGGTGGATTTATTTTTATGTTTAGCCTTCCCTAATGTGTAATTAATTAGTTCCTTTCTGGTATTAAAAACACCATTTTCTAGTTATTCAGAACAATCCCTTTTTGAAAACTAATGAACATACTTTTGAAAAAATCTTTCCTAATATTGCATACCTACATTTCCATTAGGAAAAGAAACAATAGAAACAATTGTTCATTAGTTGTTGAATTCTCAGAGTAATGTGTTCGTGGATTTTTCTTATTAAAAAATGAGTGTGGATTTTTCTTGAGATGTATGGTTCTTCCCTGAGAAGAATCTGAGTGCTACAAAAAGATACTAAAAATGCCTTTTACTTTTGGTGCATAGGGAGATGTGGATAATAACTAATGATGGTTAAGGGTGATCTATAGCCACCAAATTATAATTATAAAACTATGTAAGAATAAGTACCAAATCGTGAAAAAGTTTCCAGTATACAAAATTGCCACCAGTCAGATCCCCAAGGGACCACTGAACCTAGTTTCTCTTAATTCTTTTATCATCATCTGAATCTGAACCAACTTTAATTGTATTACTTTATTACTTGGATTTCTAACCTTTTATTTAACTGTGTGATTCTTAACTGTGTCTGCTCATTTTAATCATCTGAGATACTTTATTTTATAAATATAAATACCCATATCCCAATATATGGACTTAATTTGTCTGGAGTAGGACCCTGGGTATCAGCTTTTTTGGTTTGTTTTTAAAGCTCTATGAACTGATTCTAATAGGCAGCTATGACAAAGAATTACTAGTTAAGATCATGACTTTTCACACTAATATGCATGTTATGTGAATCACCTGATAATTTTGTTAAATTGCAGGTTCTGATTCAATAGGTTTTTGTGGGACCAAAAATTCTTCATTTGTAAGATAACTGATGTCTGGTCCTTAGAGCACACTTTTGTGTTGAGAGAACAGACTAGGTTTTCCCAACTATTAGTTTGCTCACAGTCTTTTTATAGGTCAAGGGCATTTTAAAATGAGAATTTAATTTCAGAAATGAACAATTTGATTTGGCAGGAAGGATTCTCTTATAACTTATCTTGGTTAGTCCATATTCTTCTGGCTCAGAACAGTGAGAGCAATAAGACGTCCAAGAAAGTATTGTGTGGACATTTTATTAATAAGAATTAATGAAATTAGAATCTTTTAATGAGAACAAAAACTAAAATTTACTTTTGTTTCAGTTATATTGATAAGCTTTGCTCAAAAAATTATGTGCAGAATTAATGTTTTTATTTAAAATTTGCATTTTTATTAAAATAAATTTCCTAAAAACCTCAAATGTAAACTGTTAGTTTAATTCTAGTAAAATTACTTTGGTGTGATGGACTCCAGTAGCTTTCTTGGGATATCATTTAATACATTCTTGCCTGAGGCATTTCACAATGATGATATTTTGAGTATATTTGTGTGCACTGTGTGCTTGTGCACATGATCATGGTTTTAGAAAAAGTTAATTAATTTTCTCCCTTTTGTCTGTTGTTTCTTTCTCCCACTTCTTAGCATCATTCACGGTTATGTGTTACAATGTGTTATGTGATAAATACGCTACCCGGCAGCTATATGGCTATTGCCCATCCTGGGCATTAAACTGGGAATACAGGAAAAAGGGAATTATGGAAGAAATTGTTAACTGTGACGCAGATATCATTAGTCTTCAGGTAACACAATAGAAATTGAATTGTCTTTAAGTTAAAGGTGAACTTAAGAATAAAAGATCATCTGGGAATGATCCTGGGCTGAAAACGAAATTCAAACGGAATTGATTTCTCTCCTCTTAAAAAATGGACAATTTTATTTTATTTCATTTTTGGAAATATGTTTTATTGAAAGATTTTACAGTTGTTTATCATCTGTCAAATTTAACAGACTTTTACAAGTCCATTGATATATCAAATTAATGAGTTTAACTCCCGAAAAAGAAATATTAACATACAATTTATAATTTAGCCATACCACAAGTTTTTAAAAAATGGATAATTTTAAGAAGCACATAAGAAGTTTCCACAGTGAAACTGTTTTGCTAAGTACAGCCATCCATTTATACTTATTTACTATTTTCTTAAGTGAAAATTATCTTACGCTTTATTCCTGTTAACAGTTCATCTCATCCACAAATTACTGGTATTGCCAAAACAAAAAAACTGCAGAAGATTGTTTTTCTCACACATATGAATTTAACTTTTAATTTGTAAAAAAAAATATTTTTCCCACTGTTGTTCCTTAATTATAAACATTTTAAACATTTAAAAATATTGCAATATAAATCATGCAATTTTGCCTTATTTTGAAACCCACCTTGAAAATTAGGTTCTTCTGTTTTGTTTTGTTTATTTCACTGCAGGTTTTATTTTTATTTTTTTTATTTTTTTAAAACCATGTTTTTTTACAGTTGTCTCAGTTTTTCTCCTTTGACCTCCTCTGCCAGGTTCTTCTGTTTTATAACTCTTTGTTATAATAAATTTAACTGAAGAAGCACCTTTCCATTGAAATACATGTTTCTGTTCAACACTCAGCTAATGAATAGCCAAGAAAGTGTTAAAGTAATTTTTAGTAACTTTTTTCTTAGCAATTTTCAAAGCATATAAAATCTTTTCATCATAGCCTGAGAAGAAATTACTACTTTTAAAATATTTTTTGTAGTACAGCTTGATAATTTATTTTTATGTTGTCCATGGTTTATATGACTTCCTGGGAGATAATAAAAAATAAAAACCTTCAAAAATTAAATTTTCTTCTCAACACTGAGGACTGACACAGAACTGGGGAGAGGAGGAAACAAACAAAATTAGGCTTATTATTATTACTTAATTGTCTCTGTTTTGATTTAGTATTTGTAGTAAGAACAGCCTCATACTCTTCTAAGTAAAAGTATAATTTGAAGGATAAAAACACCATAATAAAAAATTTTCTTGCCAATGTCACCCCAGTAAATTTGATTTAAAAAAATTTTTTAAAGCAAAAAATGTTATATTATCAGAAGTGCAACTTAAAAAATTAAAATTATTCTAAAATCTACTCTGAGGAGTATACTTGGCTGAATGTGTTAATAAGAATTAATTTTTCAAATGTAGGTCATCTACAATTATATACCAAAAATGCTTCCTATTATAAAAGTAATACTACTTTATGAAGTGTTAATTCTAGACAAGTTGAACATTTTGAAAAAATACAAAGAATGATGGAAGAAAATACCTAATCTCATATCCCAAAGATAGTTGCTGTGTTAAAACTTCTGGAGTGTGCCGTGTACATTTTTATACACTTATTTATTTGCAGATACATTTTAAAAATAAAGTCAACATCACATTATTGACATATTTTCTTTCTTGTTTATTACACTTAATGTATTACTAAAATTTTTCAAAATTAATTATATGAATATATATTAAGTGATTTATCATTTTCCCTATTGTTGGACATTTAGGTATGTTATAAAATCATGTTGTTAGGAGCATTACCATATATAAATCATTATCTTCACACCCGATTTTTTCATTTGGAAGGATTTGTTAAAAACATTTTGTGAGTCAAAAATAAAATAGTCTAACCTAATAATTACTAAAATAACAGAGACCATTGGATTCAGGCACCTAAAAATTCTTTAAAGTAGAATTTTTTGTTGATTGATCTTAAGCTTCTCATTCTTGGATATCATTCCTTTTTATCACAGTTGAGAAAGAAAAAAATTTAAATTACCTTTTTATATATAAAATTAATCTGTAATATGACCAATTTTCTTTGATTAATTACCAGTTGTGAGGAAGTGAAGTATAGTGGAATGAACCCTATATTGGGAGTCAAGAGGCTTGAGTCCCACCAGCTGTTTGAGCATGAAAAAATCATGTAATACCTGGTTCTTCCAGGTTTAAAAAGCTGCCATTGTGAAGTGGCAGCTGTTAACAGTAAGGTAAGATAGATAATATCTGTTATGTGAATTATTTGAACTTAGTTACATCTTACTCATAATGCTTAACATTTTTATATCTTTATTAGCATTTTCCTCTGTCATGTTGTTGATAACTTTTCTTTCATCGCAGGAAGTGGAAACAGAGCAATACTTCACTCTCTTTCTGCCAGCATTGAAGGAGCGTGGATATGATGGATTTTTTTCTCCAAAGTCACGTGCCAAAATCATGTCTGAGCAGGAGAGAAAGCATGTGGATGGTTGTGCAATATTCTTCAAAACAGAAAAGTGAGTTAAGGAAACAAAGCAAAATAGTGTAAACTTATTCCTTTAATTCCTACATGTTTGAAATTGCCTTTGGTTTGACCCTTTAAAATAAACAAAAAGCTAGAAAACAAGTGGTATAAAAATCGCATTTTAAGTAAATTCATACACTTGACAATGGTATCATAATCATGTCCTAATAAATCTTCATGAAGTAAAATATTAGTTTTGGTGTGAAAAAAGAAAATAGTACTATGTAATGTTAGAAATAAGTTTTGAGATTTTTTTCTGTGATTTTTTTTTATATTTGTCCTTTTTCAGAATTATTCATTTTATCAACCTTTTCATCTTTTTCAATTAACCATTTCATACATTTACTTAATCATTTATTCACTAAATGATTCCTAAGCATTTGCTTTGCGACAAGTATTGTACTAGTCAAAGATAGACAAGACAGTTACTAATCCCACTTATAGGTCTAATCTAGTAGGAAGAGGTAGGCATATAAAAAAAATCACAAGATAATATGGCTTATAAGATAGAAAAAGGTATTAAGATAGATAAGGCAGAAGAGAGGCACAGAGCTTATGGAGGTGGGAAGTTAAAAGACTGATTGAGACATAGTGGAAAGCATTCATTATCAGATATTAAAAAAGCATTGACCTGTGGCTTTTTTGGGGGGACTGTTAATATAGTTGATTACCATACAGTCAAAATGAGAATATTATGAGTCTGCATATTAAAATACATAAATGATCTTGTAGAGGCCTCTGTGCTTTTAATAGTCTTCAGTTTAAAATGGAAAACAGTATTCAGCCTGCTTACTTCAGAGGTGGTTACAAGAATTAAATGAGGTAATGAGGGGGTAGGTACTGTGTAAACTGTTGAGTGTCCTGGACATGTTTTTGTTACCATATTTTTCCTGTTTCTGTAGTCCTTTGTAGTTTTATTATTTCTCTCTTATTGGGTTTATTATGTTGTGTGCACTAGATTTAGAACTGTGTTTCCTACTTAGGAGTACAGAGCTGTCACACACTCAGAAGGTATCCTTTGAGTGTTGGGTGAGTGACTAAATGGTTAGAGGCAGATTCTTTTGGTTATCACTATGAGGAGAGAGAGAAGAGTATTTTTGCCTCATGAAGGCTGCCAATTTTAGACTGGAAAATTTGAAGGGGGACCTTCAGTAAAAGACTGAAATATGTGAAGTTTGATAGAGGTTGAATCTCATGAATAATAATTTGGATTTGATTCATTAGTTAGAGAATCATCTACTTATAGGATAAGCACATACATGCTTATGACTATTTTCCTGTTTAATACCTATTATTACAAAGCCAGTTAAATGTTTTTATTGATATAGGCACATTACCAGCATGTTATTTTAAGTAAACAAATTAAGTGAATTTGAAAGATATTTGGCCTACTTTTCATTAATTTGAACCTACTTTCCTGTTTTTTCTGTGAAATAGAGACATTCCCATTTTAGTTAATAATTAGTACACAGCCCTATAATACCTGAGGTCAGAATATACTAAATTCTTCTAGGGGAGTTTTTATGTATTTTAGAAAAACAGTAGATATCCTAAAGTAGATATGTCATAGTGTTTACTTGTCAGGCCTTTATTTATATGGATTATCTTTAATTTTTAAATCAACCCTCAGAGGTGGGAATGGAAGTACCAGTATTTCCTATTTTTATAGATGAGAAAAACAAGGTACTGAAAGCACTGGCTTCATTGTCAGTGCTTTTAACCAATGTACTAAAAATTGAATCTTTAGGCTTCTTATTTGAGCTTCTGGTATTACTTGTACCTCTTACAAGGTTACCTCATTTGGAAAACTGCCTTGACTTTTATATTTGTTACCTATATTCATATACAAATTTTCTTGAAACACCATAATAAAAAAGTAGTGATAGCATTGAAATGTCTGTGTCAGGCTCTTTTACCATTTGCCATTGTTTGTTTCTGGAGGAAGATAATACAGAAAATTTTTATCATTCCCTTCATGGTTTTGAGAGAAAAATCTAAAATGTTTTGATTTTACCAGGTAGTTAAGATTTTGAACTAACAAATCTGTTATCTAGGAAACTTTAAACAACTGATTATTTGAAAATTGATGCTTGAATTTTTAAAAATACTATTAATTAAGAGATGAATACATAGGTAACGCTAAGATGCGTCATTTGGATTTCTTTGCTTCCTCAAATCTTTTTAGTAACATAGATCCAGCAACAGATAAAGATTTTGGGTGTGATACATTATTACATTCTGCCTCTTTTGAACAGTACCAAATACTTATTGATGTCATCCATATTAGCTAAGCCATGCCATACTATTTGGAATTCAACACAAAGTGTACTACTTTACCTTTATTCTATTATTTTGTCAGACTGAAGAGAGAATACTGTGCAAAGAAAGATGGTTTTGAAGTCACATTGTTCACTTGAAGTCAGATGTGTGACCTTGAATGATTCCCTTACTCTTTCAGGGCTTATTTCTTCATTTGTACATATTTGTATATTACCTTGTAAGGTAATTCTTTATATAGTTAACAAATAATGAACAAAACTAACAAAGTCAGACATTAACTGTAGAAGGGATTTACTGTCCATACTCATTCTCGAAGTCTTGTTCTTCTCAAACCAGAGAACCTGATAATTCCTAATCTTTGCTGATGCCAGTTGTGTCCCTTCATTGAAAACAGTGATACAGAGGAGGTAACAAAATGGAAACTATAATAATTACTATTATGGCAAAGTGCTATAAGAAAAATCTCATCTATTATGATGAAAGGGTAGAATATGGGCTAGTAAAGGCTAGGACATAAATTAACAATATTTGGGGAATTAGAATACAATAAAATATTTTTTGACTCATTCTAGTTTAATCTTTGGGGATTTAGGGGGCACTTCAAGGTTTGGCAGTACCTTTTGGTCATTATAAACATTATTTTTTTGGTAGATGCATAGAGATACAGCAAATAAGTTTGGATTGATAAAAATGCTTTTGCTTTGTTCTTTACCTAAACAAGTATTATCTTTAGTGTAAAGCATTTTATAAAATACATGCACACGTGTGTGTGTGTGTGTGTGTGTGTGTGTGTGTGTGTGTGTGTGTGTAGAGACTGATATTATAGATGTGTTTTCCTGCACTCAGAAATTTAAATTTCTTTTTGCATGTTTTGTCCTATAGAGTAAACATAACAGTTAGTAGTGGTGCAGTCTTACATCCAGATATACAATTTGCAGAAATCCTAAATGGAGATGACACCAGGCCTAAACTAGACCTACTTGTTCCTGAGGTTAGCAGTTCCGATCTGATCCTGCTGTTTCAAATCAATAAGAGAGGGACAGTTGAGAACAGCAGTTTTAGGACACTTTGAAATGGCAGGGTATTCCAACAGGATTGGGAACTAGTCAGTGATGGTGCTTAGTCCTTGCTGTGTTGCCTCTGCTTTCTAACTTGCTTCCAGTCTTAGAGGTACCAGCTAAGGCCAGGTCTTTGCTTTTCCTTCCTACATTAATACAGGTAGTTTTGTGCTTGAGAAAATGGCATACAGAGGTTATAGTACCATACCAAAATGACCTGTTGTGATAATCCTGTCTCACTAGTTCTGTTATTAATTTCCGCTATTTTATGTCGTAGTTTCATACAGAATTTGTCAACGTGATTTTTTAAAAAATAGATTGTGATATCTGGTTTCTAATGTTAACTTTACCATTAATTTCATCTTGAACATAAAATTGTTGCTTTGTAGCACAGTTTCCTTACCTTTCCATTAGGGAGAGTAGTAACAGTTCCAGCTAACTTCAGAGGTTTCTTATTGGGCTAAAATGAACAAGAAAGTGAAAGTGCTTTCGGTAGTTAAAAGAGTTGTACAAATATAGGTAGTGTGGTATATAGCCACTTTTCTTTCCTATTTATCTGGTATCTAAGCTTATCTTTCCTAGTAAATTATTTTCTTGCACTCCCATGATTATTTAAAGGGACCCAAGAACACATTTTCTACCATCTTATAATACTGAATATACAATAAAAACTTCTGTTTGGTTTAGGTTTAAGAATACTGGGTTATGATCCAGAATGGGTCATAGTTAACTTTTGTGTGGTTATGCTCTTCTTGTTTATGCACTACCTTGTTCCTTTTAGCTCATAAATGAATTCAGGGAAGTAATGTTACTTGACTTTTCTTCTTAATTATAGTTAACATATCATATTAGTTTCAAGTATATAACATAATGATTCAACATTTATATTCCTTATGAAATGATCACCAAAATAAGTCTAATAACTGCTTGTCACCATACATAGTTATTACAATATTATTGGCTGTATTGCCTGTGCTATGCATTATGTTCCTGAGACCTATAACTAGAAGTTTGTACTTCTCATTTCCCTTCCCTTTTCCTACCCAGTCCCCGCCCTACCCCCACCCTTCTGGCAACCATCAGTTTGTTCTGCATATGAGGGGGGACCAAAAAAACCCCAGAATTTATTTATAAAGAATTGTGTATTTATGCATACATGTTTAAACTTCAGTTGTCTTCAAAGTACTCACCATTTCATGCAATACGCCTATCGAGACTTTTTTCCCACTGCTCAAAACAGTTTTTGAACTTGTTGATTTGGATGCCTTTTAGTGCTTCTGCCATTTTTTGTTTCACCTCTACTACACTGGCGAAACATTTCCCTTTGAGGACATTTTTCCATGGGGGAAACAAAAAAATAGTCACTCAGGGAGATCTGGCGAATAGGGAGGGTGGAGCATGAGGATCATGCCTTTTTTTTTTCTTTTTATAATTTTTATTTGTTTGTATATACATCCATGCATTTACTATTTCTTTATTTTTTAATTTTTTTAAATTTATTTATTTTTTCAAATACATTTGCCTCTCCCTACCCCCCACCACTTTCCCTTGCCCCGCTCTCTCCCTCCCTCCCTCCCTCCCTCCACTCTGTCTCTTTGGTTTTGATTAAAAACTGCTGAACACTAAGCACAGTTTGGGCAGGTGCACTCGTAAATAATCACCCATCATGAAATGGACAAACACACTGAAAAAGTCTTCAAAAAAAATTCACTGAAGCCGAACACAGCCTCTCACAGCCTCTCACAACATCACCAGCTGGTATACTGATGCAGACGGGTTCCTAGATCATTCACCTAGCTGGGGAAGCCTTTACTACAAGGGGACTGCCCTCCAGTAGATAATTCTGGTTTTTGGGGGGGTACCCTCCTCATATATGAGTTTGTTTGGATTCCACACAACATAAGAGAAATCATATAGTATTATTTTGCTTGCTCGTAGCTGGTGTTCACTGTCCTGTCTCTGGAATTAATTTAATCACATCACAGCACTAAAATTACTTCCACATCACAAGACAGTAAGAAATTGAGCTATTTCTTCATTCTATTTAAAGGGCTGTTTTGGACAGGTTTTTCCTGTATTTGAAACATTGAACCTAAAAATCTTTCTCAAATCATAAAAGGAGGGTGGTTTCTTTTTTCTTTGTTTTTTGGTCATATCAATCTTCATTATAATGATCTCTCATATCCATTTAATCATCTGTGAAATACAATCTTTAAAAAATGAAGGTACAGAAGAATTCTTATACTAAAATAAAAAATAGCATCAGGAATAATACTTACAGTGTCTGTGTACTTGCTACAGAGTAGGAAAAATGAAATGAATTGAAATAGATAAGTTTAAGATTTTACATATTACCAAGGCTTGATGAGTAGAAAGTAACTATAAACTAGTATGTCTTATTTAAAAGAAACATCTAACATAAAGAATGGAGGAAGACCTCTATATGTCAAAGTATCACCTGTATAGGAATCTGTTAGAAAGTAGAAATAGAATGGCCTGCATTTGGTTGTGTATTCAAGGTGAAAGTAGGAATAATTGTTAAGGTAGTATAGATAGAATATGGATATTTTTGCTATATTATAAATGTATTATGATAAATATAGTATTAAACTCAGAAACCAGTTAAGTTGTAAGAGATTACAGCTATGTGTCCAAGTGTTAGAAGTCTCATCTTCTATAAGCAGAGTACTTTAAAACCTCTTCAGGTTCAAGAAGTATGGCTATGTTCTCATTTAATTCTCACTGGAAAGAAGGAACATTCTTTGGTTCCTTAGTTCTCAAGTATCTCTTTGGTTGTTCAATTACAGTCATGCACTGCATAATGATGCTCTCTGTAAACAATGGGCTGCATATGCAACAGCTGTCCCACAGATTACAAGGGAGCTGAGTAATCTCTATCACCTAGTGCCATTGTAGCTGTCATAAAGTATATGCTGGTGTAAGTAAGCCTACTGCACTGCTGGTTGTTTAAAAGTACAGCACATACAATTACATACAGTATGTAATACTAGATAATAAATGACTGCTACTGGTTTATGTAGTTACTATACTTTTTATCATTATTTTAGAGTGTACTTTCTGTACTTATAAAAAAGTTTGCCGTAAAACAATATGCAGCAGCTTTACACATTTCTCATGTTTACCATGTCTCTTGATCACATCATTTTCTCTTCTTCTTGATTTAATCTTATGTCCTTTTATGCAGTGTCATGCTGTACAGGCTGGTAGCCTAGAATCAGTAGGCTATAATACCACTTAGGTTTGAATCTGCAGATGCAGAGAAACTACACGCTTTTTTATAACGGACTTGAGAATCCATGGATTTGGCTACTAATGGGGATTCTGGAACCAATTCCCTGCAGATACTGAGGAACAACTAAAGATTTGGGGAGTCAAAAGTTATACATGGATTTTCACCTGTGCTGGGGATTGATGCCTCTAACCTTCATGTTTTTCAAGGGTCAATTATAATGTCAGGTGGCAGAGAAATTAGATTTATTTTATATTCCTTTAAAGAAAAGATCTAGATCTAGGTATAATGGAAGAAAGATACAGGAAAACAAATTTTGGTTAAGAGAGATATTTTTCATAATTAGATAACACCCCCCCTTGCCTAATAATGGCTAGATTTTAGTAGAAGTGAACTATTTTAGTGCTAAAAATATTACCATTAAGAAGGATTTGCAAACTTTCCCACAGAACCCTGGGTTCCTATAAATAAGCCTGAAGATTTTTGTAAATATAAGATATTTTAAAAATCAAAAACAAATAATTGAACTAATTTAAAAAATAACAAGATTACTCACATATTTTAAATCCAAATTTTAACACTTTGGAAATCAATAACACATTTCTGTTGTACTGCTTAGCTGTCTTGTTTGCTGCAGACCTCCAAATTGAGTTTTTGCCTGCTTGCTTGTTTTTTGGGTTCAAGGCCAGTTATTTGCTACCTGTATCTGTGTGTCTGTGTGAATCAGAATTTTTATTAACACCGTGTAATCAAAACAAAATACATAAATAAATTGGATACTGAGACTAAGACTGTAGTTACCATCATATGCCCTGATTTCATATTTTTATATTCAGAACAGGTTCATTGTTTTTCGTGATTGACTTATTTAAACATAATGCTGTGATCTATTATATATGGGAATCTTACCAGAAATCGTTTGAAAAAGGTATTCCACTGCTTAAAGACATTTGAAAAAGTCCAATATAGAGTATGGTCAATTTTACCTATGGAACCTATGAATCTGCCCCTTTCTCTTTATTTCTGTTGCCATAGTTGAAGCCATCATCAACTGTCATCCAAACAACCGCAGAAACTTTCTAATTGATCTCACAGTTTTCACTCTGGACTCCTGTAATCCACAAAGCAGCTGGAGTGATCTTAAATATAAATCCAATATGATGTCCTTGCTTAGAACCTTGTTCCTCTTCTTCTCATCTTTTTCCAACTTGTAAACATACAAAGGTCTTGCTGGCCCAGGGCCGCCTTCTCCCTGGAGTGCTTTTAATCCCATTTTTCACCCAGGTGGTTCCTCATCCTTTATGTTTCTTTTTAAAGGTTACCTCCTTAGAAGGTAGAAACTATACTCCCTTTAATCACTCTAGGGTAGAATTAGGCACATGACCCAACCTTCTATTCTTCTGAGAGCCACCTGAGACATTCAGAATTGAAGCAGGGAGAAGGAGTACCGTTTCATCTAGTACTGTGTCTTGTGGTTGAGTAAGATTTCAGTCAACATTTTCGAAGGGATACACACATGTTTCTATTTCAAAGCTACGAGGAAGATATGGTGGCAGCCTCTTATAAGAACAAAAAGGTCTTCTCTACATTTGACACCTAGTGAAAAGTAAACAGTATATTTAGTAGGTTTTAGTCATTTATAAATATTTCACAAACTTAATAAAAGTAGGCTAAATGAGGTTCAGTAGCTTGACCAAGGTCATATGGCTGTTAAATGTCAGTACTAGACTGAGTTCTGTTAAGCCCTGCAACACTACAGTACTTAATTTGGCACTGAGGAAAGAAAATATTGTTAGTGCAGAAGCTAAAATAACAGGGAGAGCCATTCTTCATCTTAAACAATCTGTTTCTCTGAATGCTTAAACATATCTAATTTCAGCTTTTTAGTAAAAGACAGAGGGAAAAATTGGCTTCTCCTTAGCTGGGATAAGGATGTGTCCCTGCATTTTCTTGACAAATCTCTTGAAGTTGTGAGAATAAAACTGCAAACAGGGTAGGTAGATTTCATTCTCTTCTTTCTCATTAACTTGCTGACTCAGTCAAGGTTCTGTTCACCTGTAAATACCAGAAATCCTAACAGTAGCTTAAAGAAATGGGAGAAGGGTAATTTTCTCACAAAAGTCCACAAATGACAGTTTCAAAACTGGTTCAGCTGCTTCCCCCATCCATAGTGGTTTGGCTTTTGCCCTACTGCTTCTCACCACATGCACAAAGATGTAAAAGGGCAGAAGGATTTACATGCCGTCATTACTGGATGGTGCTTCCAAGAGAGTTTTTATGGCAGACAGACTTCTTACATCTCATTGTCCAGAACTGTATCACATGGCCCCCCATGGCTAGAAAATGTTTAGAGAGACAGTGAATAGTGTCTGTATCTTGTACTCCCTTGATTTAATGTCTTTTACCATAGTCCCAAGTACCTAATATCATAACAATAATGCATTGTACCTTGTAGATTTACATTGGTGCAGAAGCATACAGTGGAATTTAACCAAGTGGCAATGGCTAATTCAGATGGATCCGAAGCTATGCTGAACAGAGTGATGACAAAGGATAATATTGGTGTTGCTGTGGTATTAGAGGTCCACAAAGAACTATTTGGAGCAGGTGAGTGCAGTTTAAAATATTCTTTCTAAAAATAAACACCATCCCAAGTTTTCCCATCTCAACAAGCTCAGAGAATCTTGCTGTTATTTATTGCACAGTTATTTTCTTGACTTTTGAGGAAAGTTGAGGGCGATAGGCAAGAAAATAGCACTAATTGTGTAAAGCATCATATATTTCTTGGGATATTACCAGTTAACCTGTAAGAAGGAAAGTCTTTAATATGCCATTAATTCCAAAAGGTCATTTGAAATAGGAAATGTTTTAGTCAGGCTGAATTTGGAAATTATGATGAGTTGCTTCTCTTCTTAGCCATATTTTTAGCTTCTTGAGAGTGAAAGCTTTTGCCTTTAAGTTTAAACACTTGGCACATTTTCTGTAATTTCTTTGTTATATCTCAGTAATTGTCAGGGTAAGAGCTGGATCTTTTATCTACCTGCTACTTTTCTTTTGTATTTTGGATTTTTTTATAGCTTCCATCAAAGTCAGAAACTCATTATGTACTTTGCATATCCAGATCTTTTTTCCACCTTTCTACTGCCTGCCTCTGAGCATTTTGTTGTTTATTTAACTATACTTTAGGCAAGAGTAAGAAGAAGGTATAAGAACACATCAGGGCTTTTATTTATATTATTTTTGTACTTGCTAGCTGTCGAAGAAAATACTTTTGCCTTGAATATTTATTTGACTTATTTAGACCATGCATATCTGTCAGACCTCCTTTTTTCACTGTTAATTCAGTTTATCCATCATCAAAGACAATCAGTCAGTCTTTGGTATTTTAAATTTTCTTCTTTTAGCCTCTCCATTTTTACCTACTTTTATGTCCTTTCCAGTCTCATTCTTCTCAAAAGTTTGGCACATTTTGGAGAGGGCGATGTGAAAATTGAATTTCTTTTGGAGTTTTACTTTTCTTTTAATTTGCAGAAGAGTAACTATAAATTATACATACAGCGGACATTTTCACGTACTAAACTATGTCACTCTAGTACTCCTAGAAGAAGAGTTTAATATTATAGAAGGTTCTTTACAACTCCTTTGAAGGGGCAAGTTTTTAATATTTAATGCAGTGAATATTTATTTAATCTACAGCCAAAAGTGACATTATAAAACTTCTAGGAAAAGAAGAGAGCTTAGAGGATTTCAGCTGCAGGTTTTTACCCTGTGATCAAATTGCTTTTAAAATGACTGTTTCCATCACATATGACAGATACATCAGTTACTTGTTTACACAACATCAAAGATAATTATAGCTTGGTAAGATAGATGGGAATTTTATAAAAATAGTAGAGTTAGAAAATTAGGTCTTTTTTGCAGCATTTATTTTTTCAATATAAAAGTTTTGAGACATTTCTATAGAAATTTTAAAGGAAAAGTTAATTTTGTATGTTCCCTAATTTTGCAACTGAACAGAAGTATATAAATAAAAAGTGAGAGGACCTCTTACTCATATTCTGTAGGAGTACTTGTTCATTTCTTTACATATTACTAACATATAGTATATGTGCGTGTGTGTGTGTATAGTTTTGTTTAAATGGCATCATAACATACATATTGAGATTTATGCCTTACATATTAACTAAGCTTAATTTTCACAATTTTTAATGTAATTATCCTGTCTGCCATTTTGAAAATACTATGTTAATATCTAATATAACAAAATTAAATAACAGAATTTTAAGGAAAAAAGAACATTGGAGATTCCTAGTTGAATATCTTATTGTCCAAATGAACCTAAGCACCAAAAAATAACTGGCTCAAGACCACACAAAATACTAAGTAACAAAGCCAGGTATAAAATCCAAGTGTCTAGAGTTTGAGAGCACACTATTCCCTTATTTTCATTTTTTAAATTACCTTATTTGGATGTATGGTATGAATTTGTTTTTACTAGGAACCTATCACTGATGTGCCCAGGAAATGGGAGGTGAATGAGTATTGGACAGCAGGAAGAATTTAAATTAAGGTTTAGGTAACTCAAATAACTGAGAACCTGCCTCACTAGGTTATATTGTTATTTAAATGATAGAGATATTTAAAATGTTTGTTTATACTAAGAAGGCAGCAAATCAAAGTATTATAATCAAATATTGATTACATCATGGTATAATTCCTAACTCAGGCATATAGAGCGGGAGTCAGCAAACTTTCTATAAAGGCCCCAGTAGTATTTTAGGCCCTCGGGGCAACATAGAGTCTTTAGTGCAGCCTTTTAAACTTTTTTGGTAGAACTCTTTAAAAATGTAAAACCAGCCTTTGCTCATACAGGCTGCACAAAAACGGTGGGCCAGATTTAACCCATGGGCTGAGGTTTGTCAACCCAAATCTAGAGAATTCCTATGTCAGATTACCAGAATCTCAGCACTTCAGCTTCTAAGAACTACTTTATGAGATAAAGTGGAAGGTATAAATTAATGGAAAAGAGTAAACAGTAGCTATGGGTTTGGGGGGAAAATGGTTTTTAATACATAAAGTATAACTTTATCCTCTTTTCTGATGTTTGAATTTAGGTATGAAGCCTATTCATGCTGCAGACAAACAGCTGCTTATAGTGGCAAATGCCCACATGCATTGGGACCCAGAGTATTCTGATGTGAAACTCATCCAGACCATGATGTTTGTCTCAGAGGTTAAAAACATTCTGGAGAAAGCCTCTAGTAGGCCTGGCAGCCCAACTGCAGATCCTAATTCCATCCCGCTGGTGCTATGTGCAGATCTTAACTCATTGCCAGATTCAGGTATTGTAACATCATTTTCTTACTGCTTTCGGTTTTGCTTTTACTTCAGGTTGAAAGGCCAGCTGGCTCTTAACTTTTGAGTAGAGAATTTCTCTTCTAAATTAGGGAGTGTACCAGTAAGAATCCTAGGGATGGTACATGGGGTAATTGAAGAGAGTTGAGCAAAGAAACTATTTCCAAAGGTGTGTGTAGGATTAAGGGGAACAAAACAATGAATGATGCCGTACTCTAACACTAATGGCGTTAGGGACCCTTTACCATCCCTCTGCCTGAGGGGAAAGTGGTAGGAGCTGTTATCAGAACTTGGAAAAAGTAGTCATAAGGGGAGGGCCAGGTTACAGGGGCAGTGGATTTGAGCTAAGTGATGTGGTCAGTTCCCAGCAAACCAACAGAAAGGGAGCCAGTGGACTGTGTATCCCTACCTTACTGTGATCCTGTCCTCTGCTCTCCTACCACTGCCTTCCATTGACCAGATCTAACTAGAAGCTGTGGGAGTGGGTGGGGTTTACAGTTGATGCAGTTGGGACACAGTGTAGTGGAGACAGATGATCTGAAGACTCAGCCAGAAAGTAGCAACACAGTTAGCTGTCTAGCTTAATAATGCTGGCAACTTTTAAGTGAATTCATTAAATGATATTTGAATACTGTTTAATATATACAGAAGCATGATCAGAATTCTTTTAGCATATCACTCTACAATAAATATAACACAATCCAAGTGCTTGTGCTTGGACTATTTACAGAAGTCACCAATTCAGAAAAACATCTTTACTTTTCTACTTAGCAAATAAATGCTGAGCTCATCCTTTCACAGATGTTTGTCTTTACACCCCAGCCACATTGGCACCTTAACCATGCCTTCCTTTCCTAATTTTTTAAAATTACATTCGCTCTCAAGTATGTATTTTCCCCACTTTATTTGATTTGTTCAAGCCAATGAGCTGTTATTTGGCAACATGGCATAGTGAGCTGACTCTCAAGCCAGACTGTCAGGATTGTATCCTGTTTCTACCACTTACGAGCTATGCAGTCAAAGACCAAGTTCCTCATCTAATAAAAAGGGGGTAATTATTTTATCTACCTCATGAGTTGTTTGTGAGGTTTAAATGTGAAAGCTCTTAGACCAGTGCCTGGCATGTAGTAAATAGTAGATAAATGGTAGCTCCTTTCAGTTATTCACAATGTGGATAATATGCTCAACACTTAAATGTTGCTCTCATTTCTGATCACAAATAAAGAGAGAGCTAACATTGTTCACTAATCATCATCATGAGAAGAAGGGTTGTGATAATTTCTTCATGTTTACTTATTCAGTGGAAGCAGTGCACTTTTTTTTGTTTCTTTTAAAGCTTACCCAAGGATATGTTTATTGATTTTGAGAGTAAGAAAGGAGGAGAGAGAGAAACATTGAAACATTGATGTGAGAGAGAAACATTGATTAGTTGCCCTTTGTACGTGCCCTGACCAACAGTTGAACCCACAACCTAAGATGTACCCTGATTGGGAACTGAACCTGCAACCTTTTGACATATAGGATGATGCTCCAACCAACTAAGCCACCTGGCCAGGGCAGCAGCAGTGTACTTTTTTTAATGCTTCTACTCTCTTTGGCTTTTTAGGCACACCTATTATTTTTGTCCTTTATAATGTCAGACTGAAAAAAATCACTGTAGCGCAAAATAAAGAATAATGTTGCATAGCCGAAACTAGATGTTCAGATGTTGAAAATGCAAAATCTATTTCTGTTATAAATTATTTTTTTTAATTATTATTTATGCCATATTTTATATATTCCAAAGTTGTTGACTGACTGCGTAGGAGGGTGAAATACTAACAAAATGGTGATTTGGAGTAACATTCTAAAAGCATTTAGGGTCAAGTCCTGACCACCAGTGTGGCTCAGTTCTCAGTTAATTGGGTGTCAACTCACAAAGCAAAAGGTTACAAGTTCAATTCCCAGTCAGGGCACATGCCTGAGTTGTGGGTTAGGTCCCCAGTCAGGGTGCATAGGAAAGGCAACCGATTGATCTTTCTCTTTCACATCAGTGTTTCTCTCCCTCTCTTCCTTCCTCCTTTCCCCTCTCTCTAAAAATAAATAAATAAAATCTTTAAAAAAAAAAAACACCCAGAATCCTCTAGGGTCAAGACCTTTCCCGTGAATGCCATCCTAAGCCCTGGGAATCGTCTTTAGCCTGAAGAACCATTAAGAAAACAGGATATTTCTGGGTGATCCTGATCCTGTGCTCTGAAATAGGCAAATACCTTTCAGTTCAAATCAACCATATGGAATTGATGAAACTGGATTTTTTTAAACAACAACAACAATAATAACAAAAAGGCACTTTCGTATTGTTTAACCTAATAAAAAACTAATAAAAAGCACTTTGAACCAGGTATATTCACCTGGCAATGGATTTTGGCCGTAAAATTTTGTATAGGGTCTAAGTTGTAATGGTATTTCTTTCTTCTTCATTCTGCTAGGTGTTGTGGAATATTTAAGCAATGGAGGAGTAGCTGACAACCATAAAGACTTCAAGGAACTAAGGTACAATGAGTGTCTTATGAACTTCAGCTGCAATGGAAAGAATGGAAGCTCAGAAGGGAGAATCACACATGGCTTCCAACTGAAGAGCGCTTATGAAAATAACTTGATGCCTTACACCAATTACACCTTTGATTTCAAAGTGAGTGGTTGCTCTGGGCTGCTGTAGAAATTACGTTAAATATGAATGTGATAAGAAAAGTTTATATTATTTATGCTTAATTGCATAATCTTCAGGAATTTTTAGATTCTCAGAATGTCTTGGCTAAGTATACACCTAAATGTAAGGAGGTTTTCTGATTTTTATTGTTAACTTCCAGATTCTTCTTAAACCGTTATTTGTTCAAATTTCAAATTACATTGATAATAGCAAAAACTCTCAAAATATTTAGTATGTGCCAGGCATTGGAAGCACTTATATTTTTTAATATAATTAAATTTCATTGTCCATACCATGTCTAACTTCAGTAAGGATCCAAATAATAAGCAACCTGATATAGCTAAATTCACCTCGAATGACTTTATATAGTATTCTCTCAAAATTCTCTTAGGATTTTCCATTCCTTTCCAGGTTCCTTTGGGAGATGGGGTTAGAGACGGTTGTACTTAGGATCTGTTTTACTTCCATGTAGTCATACAAAAATCCCAGGCAGTGGAACATTCCAGCCTGATAAAAGAAAAGGTAGTTCTTTAGAGGGCCCATTGTGCAAGACCAGTTGTTCTTTAGAAAGATTGACTGTAATGGTTTTCCATAATTAACCCTTTTCCCGTTGCTAATTTTCTGATCATTCTGCCTGCCTACAGCTCTTCTGTTGTACCTTTGCTTGATTTTCCACCATTGCAGACATCTATCCTAAAGTCTTATATTGTCCTGGAAAAAAAAAAATGCAGATGTTAAAAAGTAGTTTGGTGTAAGAAGCCTACAGGGAATTTAATAAAATACCAAAGGAAATTTATGAAATGGGCTCTTACACATCTCCAATAACCTTTTCCCATTTTCAGTGCTTGTTTGCCCCTTTCCAAAAAACAAATTAAGAGGAAAAAGAAAGGAAATTCATATACTGATATTATTAGTCTGCTTTTGTAATCCTGAAATGAAAAAAAAATTGTTCAGTAGTTGAATCTGATTTTTAAATATTTTTGCTGTTAGATAATACTATCTAGAGATAAATGGTTTTGTTCAAATCACTCATACGCAATGATGTGCTAGAAAATATTTAATAGCTAGCTTTTGGGGAAAAGGAATCCCTAATCTGTAGTTTTACTAATTTCTGTGGTATAAGTACTCACACTGTAGTAGATTTCAAGCTCCCAAAATAATACCATTGAACACAGAGGTGGGATGAAGTGCTGAGAAAGCAGATACTAGCCAACTCTAGCACACCATTACTCGTGGATAAACTTAGAGGAAAACCTCTAGGTTTAATCATATATAGTTTACTATAGATTAATTTCTATTTTTGTGACTATAGTGATATATACTAAACAAACACAGTGGCAAATAATACATTTTTGTCATATATCTCTGCTGGCATAATCCCAGTAAACCTAAAATAAAGTTCCCCAAAATATGTGTTCAACAATTCTACAACTTTTATTATCGTTTCGGTATGTGCACATGTAGGTAAAAAGACCATATCATTTCTACCTCATCTATATAAAGGTTATAAAGGCTTTTATAAAGGTTACTTTTGCCTTACTCAAAGTCAAAATTAGAGAAACAAAATTTGGAATATTACCTTAAGTCATCTTCCTCAGTCATCTGAATTCTTTTAAAATCCTTTGTTGATATTTTTCCAACAAAAGACCTTACATGTGTTAATAATTGAATCAAAAATCATATTGAACCATTTACATCCCCAAATAAGTAGTTAAAAAACCAAAAATACATGACTCAGAGAGTGTTTGCTGTTTGGACACATGGGAAAGGATGAAAAAGGAGAGAGCTATAAAAATCTTTGGGAAAGAGGCATGTATAGGAAATAATCAGTGCTATACCAATATTGAAAGCAATCAGTAAAAAAGGATAGGTAACATCAAATATAAAAATGTCCTGCGATTAGCATTAAATACAGATCCCCATGCAGTATCTTGCTATTGCATCAGTGTAGTATTGTTAAGTTTTATTCACTTGGCTTGGCATTTGTTTATTTTCTTGGACTTTGAATAAGTTAGAAATATAGAAGAGCATTTAGAACTCAGATTTATCTAATCTAGAACTGATTTGGAAGGAACCAAAGGGTAAGCAGTTAGCAGAATTACTTGCAGACCAGATGCCTTAGTTTGGTCTGCTATAACAGAATACAATAGACTGTATGGCTTATACAACAGAAATTTATTGCTCACAGTTTTGGAGCCTGGAAATACAAGATCAGGGTACCAGGATGGTCAGGTTGTGATAAAGGCCCTCTTTTTGGGTTGCAGACAGCTGTGTCTTGTTGTAGCCTCACATGGTAGAGAGGGCGAGAGTGTTTTCAAACCTCTTTTATAGAGCACTGATCCTATTCATGAGGGCTCCCCTGTCATGACCTGATCACCTCTCAAAGCCCTACCTCCTAAAATTATCACATTGGGAGTTAGGTTTTCAACATAATGAATTTTGGGGATACACTGCCATTGAGTCCATAAGTTGAATAAACAGCGTAATACAGAATTTTTGCTGCTGCTCTCCTTGCTCCAATCTGACTAAATTTCAGGGTGTACCTGAAGCATTTAATGGAAAGAGGAAGGACAGTTTTCCTATTATGTCAAGTAGTAAATCTTTCTCTGTTGAATTATAAAATTTATGGTACATAATATTCTCCCCCCCTTTTTTTTTTTTACAAAACAAAACATGATGTTAGCTAATAAACTATTTCATTGTTTTTACTTTTTTCTTAAATATAATTCTATAGATTTAATATAGTCTTTACTTATTTAAAGACTGCTTTCCCATAGTATATAGTCTTTTTTAAAAAAGAGATAGTTTGACTCAAAAAAGGTTAAGGATCATTTAGTCTATAACCTCCTTTGCAAATATGATACAGTGGACAAATGCACATGTGTTACATACAAATATTTGGGCAGGTTCACAGACATGACCTTGCTAAGTGTTTTGATAAGAGCTTTTACTCTGATATTTCAAACCAAGAAAATAGTTGCAAGTGATGCTTCCAATTAAAAACATTACTTTCTGGAGGCCTAACATCGGGGCCTGTGTTTGCAAAGGATTCCAACTGATATACATAACAGTCTAATAAAGTGATAGGATATGGGAGGTTTTAGTCAACTTAAGTAATTGAGAATATTTCACTTTTATTTTGTTTACTTTATAGCTAAAGAAAAGGATAGTCTCATAAAGGAAAGTAAGACCACCCTGACCCTTGTTAACCATTTTCCTAAAATGTCACTGCAAAAGTAGGCAGTAACCAAATGAAGGGATAATACCTGTACTAATATTTCTTGACTATTTGGACTTGGAGTATTAGTTGCAGAAAGCTTGCCCCTGGATTCAAGTTGGTTTCTTTCTTTTCTTTCTTTCCTTTTTTTTTTTTTAATTTTTCAAATACATTTGTCTCCATTTACCTGCCACCACTTTCCCCTGCCCCACCCACCCCTACCTCCCCTCCTCAATCCTTCCCCACCGTGGCCGTGTCCATGTGTCCTTCACAGCTGTTCCTTGATCTGACCCCTTCCCCTTCCCCTCCCCACTACCTTTCCTCCCTCCCTAACTCCCATCCATCTCAGTTTCTTCTTTCTTTCAATGTTGCTGGTCATATTTTCCTTGGCTGCTTGCTTTGCTGATTAGGTCCCACTTATAGGTGAGATCATATGGTATTTGTCTTTCACCGCCTGGCTTATTTCACTTTAGGTTTCATTTGTGGTTAAGTTAGGTTAAGGAACTGTTTTGTTATTTTGGTCTTGTTAATGTCAAAGTCAGCAAACTAAGGTAATTGTTTCCAGAATTTTACAGTATAATTTTTTAAATTAAAGTTTATTTTTCTTTATTTTTTTATAAAGTATCCCATTTCATATATGCAATACCATATAAAATATTAGCTGGAACTCATTATGTATATTTGTAAATAGGTGCCTCCAGATCCAGATATATTCTCCATACTTGGGCTCAGACTTCATTCATGTGGGAAGGAAAAAATTTGACTTCATTCTTGCATACACAGTCTGGGGTAGAAAAGCACAATAGTTTTAAAACTTACTGATCAAACTCTTGAGAGACACACAGCTGATAATATATATGGTTCCTGCTGAATATTTTTTACTTAGGTAAAGTTATGCAGCAAGGAATCCAGAATTTAGAGTATACCAGGATTTGTGAAAATGAATCTTCTAAACTATAGAATGGATTAGAGCAATGAACTGTATGCAGCATTTTGTATGTATGTAAAAAATACAGGAAGTCTGAACTAGGATTAACAAGTCTGAAAACATGTTTACCATGGCTTCTTTCAGATGTGTTTGGATATTTTGATGTGCAAACAATTAAAAATGTTTCCAATTATTAAAGAAATTAATTTGAGTCTTATTATTATTATTTATGTATTTATAAAAATATTCTTATTTTCTACTTATTGTAACTGTTAAAGTCAGTGCAATTTCTGTAATACTTACACTGATATATTAGATTTCACCACCCAAGGAAGCAAATTCTAAAGATGCCTAGATGTAATTTGACACGCTTAGCTTCTCAGTTTGCTTACCATACATATAAGTGCAAGTCTTCATGATTCCAGTAGGGCACTGTGTTTTCCTATTGAGCCACCTTTATTTCATGTAACACCCATTGAAGACTTGAACCTTATTTTGCCCATTGTCAAGACAATAAGTACAGGTCACTCAGGTATTTGGCTTTTGTAAATTATGGATTGTTCTTTATATATTTTGAGTTTTTCTCTTTCCTAAGCATATATTTTTCTTTTTTTTTTCCCCCCAACCCCCAATCTCTTTTCAGGGCGTGATTGACTACATTTTCTATTCCAAGACTCATATGAACGTGCTTGGTGTCCTGGGGCCTTTAGATCCTCAATGGCTGGTTGAAAACAACATCACTGGGTGTCCACACCCACACATCCCTTCAGACCACTTCTCACTGTTAACACAACTTGAACTCCACCCTCCACTCCTGCCTCTTGTCAATGGTGTTCACTTACCTAATCGGAGGTAGTGGAGTACTGCCCCGCAAAGACGGGGATCTGTTGCTATGGACCTGTACAGTTGTAAATCAAAGTATGTAGGAGTGAAGTATGGCTGCTTCTTCAGGTTCCTTTCATTATATGTTTGCTATAAGATTTTGTACATTTTTGTGCATATTGGTATCATTTGGCACTAGGGTTGGAACCAAAGTATTACTCTCTTTCCAAATTTTTAATTTATAACATGTTTTTAAATTGGTCTTTCTTCATATTATATTAGGAATCAGCATTCATAATTGATAAATCACCAATTCTAGACCCAACTATAGTGTTTTTGTTTTTCCAAAACAAATATTTTCCTCTAAATGGTTTCAAGTGAGCCAACCATTTTTGTAAAAGGCAATTTTTAAAAACTATGTAAGATTTTAAACTTGATGGTATGCCTTACAGGGAAAACTTTCTTGAATTTCTGTTTTCCATTATAACAAACTGATCTTGGGCTCCCAAAGTTATTTGCACATTAATGAAGCACTTAAATTTACTCAATCTGTACACAAACTATGATGTAGCCTCTAGCCATATATAAGAAAAATTGAAAAATTAAAGATGGTTGCACAATATGCTTTTAGAATCAGGCAGTTAACAGCACATGATACTTTGTTGGGCAAACACTTGTTAGTTTTTTGTTTTGTTGTGTTTTTTGAGGAATCACTCTGAATTTTGTTCTCCTGTTTGTTATCGCCTTATTGGAAATATTCTAAGCCTCTCTCTCCAGTTTATTTATAGGGAAACAGCAGGTAATTTTTACTGTCACACACCTTGCAAATAGAATTTGGTATATTTAGGAGGCCCACAAAATTAGAGTCCAGTATTTTTCATTATTCCCAACTACCTGTTTCTGCCTGGTTGTGCTGGAAAAACACACTATATGATCTATGTCATTTTTGCTGTTACAGCCAAATGTTAAAAAGAAAAAGCAACTACTGAAAGAAGAGGCCCTGATGAAAGTTTTAGAAGGGAAAGCTATTCAAATATTCCATGTGTTTCCCAAAGTAGGTCAAGTGACTGTTGGCTTTGGCTATTTGAGGTGACAATAGAAAGGATTTGGGGAAGAGAAGAACAAGGAGTAGTTGAAAACCTTGGATCATTTTTCCTGACTCTAGTTGCCAAATGGCCATTATATGCTTTAAATCTTTGTTTTCATTGTCTGTCAGGGTTGAATTAAGAAGCTACTGGTTTATTCCCAACTGTTGATGCTCTTTAGATATGTTGGAATCTTTTTTTTTTTTTTTTTTTTTTTTTTGCCCCCAGGGGCCAGTTGAAAAATCTGTGACTCAAGAGGCAGTGATGGTAATATCTTTTTCTGGGGGGAAAATTGGTTGGCTACTTGATGTTAATTATGGCACAGTAACAGGAAAAGGTTGTGTCTGTGTTTTTAAGTTTTTCTTTATTCTGCTTTTTTGCTGCTATAAGAGTTTTCTGAAATTTATATTTTAAACTTTTCATGCACTTTACTGTTTCTAGTCTCAAAATGTGATATTTTTAATAAACAAGAAATTTTCCATTATGTGAATGAAATTTTAAAAGAAAATAGCCTATATTTGTGTCTCACTAATATATAAGTACAAGTCAAATTTAAATTATTTAATTAGTTTTAAATATATACAATTTGTCTCCTCTTTCAAACCTGACATCTTAGGCTGTTTTAGTAGTCTTAAATGATGCTTTTCCTTTGGTCATTTTATACTAATTTCTTCCACAGTAAATTAATCAGGCTATATAATATAATATTTCCCTGAGGGTAATTTTACTGGGATGAGGGTGGTGGGATGATGTAGTATCTTATATGGGATTGCATCAGAAGGTTTCTGTAAAGCCTAAACTCCCTTTTAAAAGTGCCTAGTGATGAGGCATTGTTTGTCATCTATTATAATTGGAATGTCATTGTAGTTGAGTGAAGTTTGATGTAAATAAAATATTATTTTAAAAAAGTTAAAGTACCAGAATAAGCAAACACACAAAGAGACAACCCTTAAGATGACAGATTTTCCTCAATGTGCAGGTATCCCTTCTTATATACCTCAAGCATTCAACATCTAGCCATGCAAATTGATTACCTGAAGCATAGTACTGGAAAGTAGAATAGCATGAAAAACTTAATTTTGTGGACATTACCTTTTTTTGTAATCAGCTACTGTATGTTTTATTTTAAATCTTTTGTTTTGGGTGGGTTTTCTGCTCTGGAGGTATATGCACTAACAAAACATTTTCCTCCTTTCATATACGCATGTTAATTAGCAATGTGAGCAATATTTCCTACCATACTTCACTCCCAATATTTTTTGAGATGTTTGTATAAAATGGAATTTAAAGTTCACTTATGATTGTATATGAACCACAGAGGAGCCCATTTATTAATAAAAACTTTTTTAATAGTTAAATGTAGAGGGAAAAATAAAAAAAATTGGGAAACATTGTAAACAGCTTAAGTTTATTTTGTGTATGATCGAGGCACTCTGTTGCAGGAAGGTGTGTAATTGGGTTCTCTCTGCTTCCAAATGCACTCTTTCAGACCATTCATTATCCTGTGTATTTTTAATGTGGTTTTAGTAAGTGTTGGCAGTAGCTCTGTTGAAGTAGGTAATTGTGTTATGTTTTGGGTGGCACACATACTTGGGGCATGGTGACCCAAATTTCATGTGCACGGTTTCCCTTTAGCCCACTGCCCAAATTTCACACACCCTTCACCCTTTGTTCCCTTTGTAAAAGGAGTGGTATCTGTTTTGAGCTGCCAATTCAGATGATCAGAAATGCTGCTCTCCTCAGTATTGTCTTGTTAAAAACCATGCCATTTGGAACTTCGGCAGTGAGAAGCCAAAAGGAAGAGGTGAATGACATAAGGTATATATTCAGTGAGAATAAAATATTTATGCTCATATACTTTCTAGTTCTCAGAATAAGTTAATAAGCTTTATGCCATGGGGCTGCTACATATTTTATCTGAAGATAAAATTTGGGCATTTTTAGATTGTGGTGATGTGTTTTTTTAACTGTTAAATATGATTTCTGATATTTATCTAAGAACTGGAGTGTTCTTTAAATTTACTAAAACAGTGTTGTTTGAGGAAGGGAAAACTGCACTGTTTGCCATTACAGCAGTCATGCAAGTGCATGTCGTCACCCACTCTCTCAGGCATCAGTTTCCGCCTCATAGCTTTACACCTTGTGATGGGGAATATCGCAGCATCCTCAGGACTGACATCTGGGAAAGGCTCAGATCCACTTACTGCTCCTTGCTTGTTGACTTTGTTTTAAAATATTGTGCCTGGTGTCAACTTTTAAGCAACAGCACTGCCTAAAAGCAAGCAGAGAACAGAATCCCAGCACCATTCTATAGGCAACTTTTTAGAATTCAGATATAGTAAATCTGTTCAAGATTTATGATGTTTTATGTAAAAAAAATTTTTGTACAACGTAGCTGAATATTTTTGTTTCATTTCTTTGATGTAAGGCGTGTGAACGATTGTTTGAATATCACATGTTAAAGTCAGGTATGGCACAATGGGTTCTGAGACCAGCTTTCCCCTCCCATTTGCCTTGTTCCAAGTTCTTTGTTTTCAAATTACTTTTCTGATATTCATAGGCAAATATTTAATTTTACTAATAAGCATCCTGTGTGAATGTATTAAAGAAGCCACTGTGTTTTAGTGTTGTAGTTTGCAGAAATATAAAGCTTCATTTCTAATTTGTCCCTTTTCTTTGGTGTCTTAAAGTCATATATTAAATCACAGAGAAGCAAGGGAGAAAGTGGAAAGATATCTAAGGCTCATATCACTTTTTCTGTGGTGGGATATTAGAATTGAAGATGTGGTGCATTAAAACTGGAACATGGGTAAACATATTGTGCTCCATTTTAAAATTGTTTCTCCTAAGTATAGTTAAATGGGTGAAAAGTTTGTATCTGAATTTCCAAGAGTTTCTAAAGATCACTAATGCCATCTATACTTTCAAATCAAATGCCAAGGCATAGAGAAAGCACAAGAAAAAAATAGGTTAAATGTCTTCTTTGATGGAACCAAGGACATATGGTTCATCATTTCTAATCCACAGCTAGATTTTCTAGCAATAAGAATTGACTGTGCCCCAATACTTACTTATCTATAAGGTCTTACATTCTGAGCTTCTGAGGAAATTTAATAGCTTTGTAAAACACATTGGGTGGTCAGTAGCTTCGGTCCCAGAAAACATCATCAGTTTCTGATACCTTTGGCAGACCATAAGAATAATGGTTTATAGGAAGCAAAGATTTTATGGCACATTTTCAAAATAGCACACTCATCCATGCTTATATTTTGACAGAATGTGAATTTTCACATTTGTAGGGTAATCTCTTTCTCTCCCACCTACTCTTCCCTTTTAAAAAAGTCACCCTTCTGAACGTGTGTAGAAGGTATGCTTCACCTTTTCCTTCTCAATTGGATCATGTTTGTAGAACTCTGATAGGGAAATCAGATTTTTCTAAGCCAGGAACTTCAACTGAGGTTTTGAAATTGTACACAGATGAGAAATTTTATACTGTGGTTGCTTGAAATTTTGCAATAGCTTACTGATCATCTAATTTGAATTAAAACAAATAAATTAGTTCATCTATAACTTGGCTTATTTACCAAAAGTTGTACTCTGTTTAAGAACAGGATGCCAGGAGCATCTTTCATTTTACAGAATGACATGTAAATCTTTATTGTAGAACTGCCATTTTAAAGCTTAAAGGTAAAAATAAAAAAGAAAGAAAACTTTATACGTATACTGCAGGATGTTCTGGACAAGATCCACAGAAAGAAAGGGGGAAAAAACCCAAACATTTCTTTTTAAGAAGGTAATAAGGGAGAGCATTCATGTTTCTTGTTTTAACCAAATACCTTCTGTTAAATCACAAGTCCTACAGGAAGAACTAGGGAGATACCAGGAAATGCAAGCTTTATTAACCTTGTTGGTAATTTCTTTTGGCATAAATTTGGTTAGACTTAGGTTAATCTTGGAACCAAAGGAAAACGAACATGTTGAGGTTTTATTCAACAAATCATGATGCCATTGAAGCAATGGGAGTTTTTAAGTAAAATGGTTTTTACTTTCAAAGCATATGAAATAAGGTCATTTCTGCCTATGAAATGTTAATTTTTTATGGCACATAGTATAAACTCAGCATTGTATTAAAATTAGAAGTTGTGTCATCAGAAATTAATCACATATGAAAAGGGTATGCAAATGCCAAGTGATATGACTCTTGGCATTGGTACATTCAACTTTCAGAAACTTTCAGAAGGCATACTTTGGTGCCTATTAGTAATTTTTGTTATAACAATCTCCCTGAATTTAGATAACTTTCCTGTTTGTATGTTTGTTACTTTTAACTCTGAAGCATAAGAATCATGGTGACCCCCTTGGAAGTGGTCCTTGCTCATTTCAGTTTTGTGTTAATTTCTAATTACTGATATATTACTGTGTTTTCTTTCAAGCTCTCAGTGGTTATATGTACCACATTGGTTTAATTAGTTATCTTAACTCACACAATTGGCTCCGTGTTGATGTGTCAAGTAATGGCTTTTGCTCTTTACTGAACAGGCTTAGTTTCCTGCTACTTGTTTCATTCTTAATGCAGTAAGCGATACAGTAGCCGGGTGTGTATGCAGAAACTGTACTGTCCTTTCTCTGTGCTTAACTTGCTAAAAATATATTCCCTTACCTGTGAAATTCCTGAGCGGTGCTTTGCCAACTTTGGGGGAAGGGAGGGGTTTGGATGGCTGTGTTATCGCACACTGGATTGGGAATTGTTCAGTGTTGTGAGTGGCAAATTTCTTAAACACCAGCAGCACTGAGAAGTGCACTATGGGCATTCGTACAGTTGTCCAAATGCAAGTAATTCTTTTATCTAGGAGAAACTGAGGAATAGAATTTATTGGAGTACTTGGAATATCCTGAGTAGGATGAACATTACAACTTTTTGTTATCTCCAGTAGGGTGGGATGAACAGAGGGTTTTTTTTCTTTTCTTTTTCTTCTTCTTTTTTTTTTTTTTTAAGAGAAAGAATGTGTATGTACCT